ATCCTGCTGAGGATTATGTCGATGATGCTCTGTACTCCCATGAATGGGAGTTTGTCTACATAGATCACGATGTATGCTTGGCAGTCTTTTGGCCCCTGTAGACATTGCTTTCTCTTGCGCGTCTCACAAGTTCAAGTGTAACTGTGAGGATGTGTGCTATGTGGTCTTGCCATTCTTTTAGTGATGATCTTAAGCCGTAGATGGCTTTGTTCAGCCCCCTCTGGTTGCTTCGTTGTAGAATTCTTTTGCCGGTCTCATTACCATGCTGCATGTGTGAATGCAACACTGACATCCCCTGCACATCAGTAGCACACAAGTGCCATTGTGAGGAGCACCCTCAGTGTGCAAAACAGTGGTGTACTTGCAAAGAGTAGGTCGTGGTCTGTGACGGGTTCTGTGTAGCCCTTTGCTGCTATTCGTGCTCGTGCTCCGTTCTGCTGTGGTTCAAGAAAAATCTTGATTCAATGATGCTTGCTTGCTGTTCCAGTGTCAGTGTGTTGCCACCAATCTCTTCTTCATGCCTCCCTCTCTTTGTCGATTTCTTCTGTGTCCTCGTTGGATGTTGTCCATTTGTTTGCCATCTCTGGTTGTAAACTTGATGGCACTTATCCTCATTTTGCCTTTTGGTTGTTCTGTTGTTGTAGGCCGCTCCAGTGCTTGTCTGTCTGCTGTGGCGCGTTGTCGCTTGCCCGTGCTGCCTTCTGCAATTGTGTCTCTTGCCTTCTGCTGCTGTGCTTGTTGCTGCATCCTGCTGTGATGTGAGTGCTTTGCTTGCTCCGAGCATTGTAACTGGTGTTGGGAGAGTAGGTGTAGGCAGTGCTGATGCTGGTGTCTTCCATGGACCTGTGTGTATATAGTCCAGTAGTTGATGATTGTAGTTGCGAGGCATTATCTGCCTTCTGATTGTCCGTGCTCTGACAATCATGTTGTAGGTCCCAATGAGGGGCGCGCCTAGTGTCGTGTCCTTGCCAAGCCAGACCCCGTTGTAGATCCTTGGCTCGGGTTTTGGACACTGTTTCACTGTTGGTAGCATAGCAGACTTGCGAAGTGGTGTGTGTGTGTGCTCTTTGTTCCATTTGTTGAAGTAGCCTGTGTATCCATTGCTGCGAACTGCTCACCTGTTCATGATGTATGCACTGTGTCGAACCATCCAAGCATGAGTGAGTGGATGTTTCACTGGAATGTCTCTGTCGTAGTTCTGCCTGATTTGTGCCTTGAGTGTTCTGATATGTGCAAACAGTGTCACTGTGTGCTCGCTCTACTCCTCCTTGTGAATGTGAACTGCAGCTGTGTGACTCCATAGTCGAAGAGCATCCTCTTGTTGGCGAGATGTATGGCCATGACCATCCCAGATTGGATGTGCGCGTTGCTGTAATTTCGCCGAAGTCAAGCTGTATGATTGGAGGCTTGCTGTGTGGCTTTGGGTGATTATTTTGTCTGCCTCTTGCTTGTACGCATATTGGACACCAACTCCTGTACAGAAGGTGTGTCGCGTTGTGCTCCCGTATCTCTTGTGGTGTTGCTTGCTCGGGTGCTTGTACTGATTTTGCTCTTGTGCTTCGCTGTTGTTCCTCATCACCTGACTTGTGTTGGAAACTCGTGATATTCCCCGAATTTGGTCCAGCCTGCCCAAGGCTTGTTTGATGTCTTTGCTTGCTGTGTTGTCCATTCATCTTCTACGAATCTTGTGTTGCGCTTCTCTCCTACTGGTTGTGACTTGGTTTGCCCCCAAGGTGTGAGCCGCGTGATGTCTGGCCTCTGCCTGAGAGGGGCACAGCTGATAACTCTGCTAGCTGTGCTGGTTGTGGTAACGCAAGCTGTTGCATGATCGCCACTCTGCACTGTTTGGCGAATTGTCCTGGCTGCCCCCATCTGTAGCAATCATTTGCTGCTTGCTTTCCTTTTGCTCCTTTTCCTCCTTTGCCTTTTCCTATCCTTATTGTACTTTGGAAGGATGTCCTTGTCCAGCCGGTTGTTGACTGTGCTCGCCTTTTCCTCCGTTGTAGTTGTTGTAGCCGTAGTTGTTCCTGTAGCCGCCGTAGCCTTTGCCTTTGTTGTGCTTTCCTTTGCCTTTGCACTTGCCCTTCTGTCCTTTGACCTTTGCCATTGTTGTACCATGTTGCCCCTATGTCCATCGGTGCTGGTCCTTGGTTGTTGTTGCCTGATGTGATTGCTTGCAGCCTGGTGAATGAAGCTGTCGCTCTGCAGTATTCAACCACCATTGACTGCATATGTGGTGATGAATCCTGCTTGCAGCTGTGCGTGTTGCTGTGGTGGTCCTTTTGTCTCATTGGGCAGTAACCTTGACTGCGTCTGGTAGTAGGGTGTTGTTGTCCTCTTCTCCAACTTTTGGGAGTTGAAACTCCCATGTTGCGAAGATCTCCTCGAACTTCTGTTCACCCAGTTGTGTTTTTAGCAGGGCACCTTGCGTGTATCAGCCGCCATGTTTCAAAGCCGTTGCCTCGCACGCTTTGTCTGCAAATTGCTGGTCCATCGCTTGTGCTCAGAAAGAGGTAGCGCAGGTTGTTGCTCAGCTGTATCCAGTGCTCTGCCACTTGTTTTCTCAAGTTGATCGTTTGTAGCTTGTCCTGTTGGTTGGTCTGACTGTCTCAGCAGTCTGTTGTATGCTGGGTCTTGTAGCCCAAGGTATGCTGCCATCCTCAAAGGTGTTGTATTCCCCTGTGAACCGTGGTGATATCTTGTATGTGTGGATTTCTCCTTTGGCTGTTGCTGCCGTTGGGTCGCCATGTTGCTCACTACTGTGTACCTGAGCCTGCGGGCGCCTGTTGGAGTGCGTGGCCAGGGAGCCCTGCTCCGCTACCATGTTAAAGTGGGCGCGACTGTGTTCTACGCTTCACTGGTGGAACCACCTGATCACCGTGATGTAAGGAAAGCCCAAGCTAGGCTCAAAGCCTTGACGCACAAAGGTGAATGTGTCTTAACATGAATGAATGAATGAATGAATGAATGAATGAATGAATGAATGAATGAATGAATAAACTGAATGAGTGAATGAGTGGAATGAATGAATGAATTGAATGAGTGAAATCAATGCATGAAATGAAAAATATGAATGTATGGAAGAATGAACAAATAAATAAACGAATGGAATGGTATGGAAAGGAAAGGAATGGAAAGGAATGGAGCGGAATGGAACGGAACGGAAGGAATGGAACGGACTGAATGAAAGAATGAAGCGAATGAATGAATGAATGAAATGAGATGAAATGAGGCGAGGTGAAAAATGGTTGCATGAATGAATGAAATACATGAATGAAATGAAATGAAATGAAATGAAATGAAATGAAACGAAATGAATGAATGAATGAATGAATGAATGAATGAATGAATGAATGAATGAATGATTGAATGAAATGAATGAATGAATGAATGAATGAATGAATGAATGAATGAATGAATGAATGAATGAATGAATGAATGAATGAATGAATGAATGAATGAATGAATGAATGAATGAATGAATAAATGAATGAATGAATGAATGAGTGAATGAATGAATGAATGAGTGAATGAATGAATGAATCAATGGACGAATGAGTGAATGAATGAATGAATGAATGAACGAACGAATGAATGAATGAATCAATGAACGAATGAATGAATGAGTGAATGAATGAATGAATGCAATGCAAATGAATGCAATGAATGAATGAATGAATGAATGAATGAATGAATGAATGAATGAATGAATGAATGAATGAATGAATGAATGAATGAATGAAATGAATGAATGAATGAATGAATGAATGAATGAATGAATGAATGAATGCACGATTTGAAGCCACATGAAAGGCCATGAACTGAGTGACTGAACGAATGCATGAATGGGTGAACACATGGGTGGAGCAGTGAATGAATCCAGGGGGAAAAAAAGCGACTGCGATTTGCGAAGTGCGCTTTCCAAGCCCCAGCTTGATAATCACAGTTAAATAGCGTAAGCGCAGTGTGCGAAGTTTCCTTTCCCAGGTCCATCTCGGAAACCTTACCTTTGCAGCACAAGTGCAGCGCGCGAAGTACACTTTCCCAACTTTTAGGAACACTTTCCCAGCTCCAGCTTGAAGGCGCATCTTTTCTAGTGTCAGTGCAGCGCGCGAAGCGCATCTCCAGCTTCAACTCGGAAGATATTGCTTTTAGAACTTCGGAGGAATGGCTTCATGTCGTCTCCGCCCGCGCAGTGTGCTCTCGCGTTTGAAACGCACGGGGGCGAACAAAAAGGAATTTCTACCCGCAGAAAGCGCGGCCAGCGCAACACAAGTAAGTCAACACTTTCATTGCGGCGCGTTTGTTTGTGCAGCGTGCTTGTTGGTCCTGGTTGCAACGCCCAGATAAGGCCAACCTGCGAAACACGAACAAAACTCAAACATCACTCGCAACAAGCGCATCAAACGATCGCAACAACACAAACAAACAAGAAGAACGTCTCGCACGCCATAGTGGAACAGATACGCAAGCAATCAAGGAGGTTAGAGTCTAGGCAACCGACCAAGCAAACAAACAAGACCCGCTCAAGTCTGGGTGCGCCTAGGGAACATGCGGAGCACCCACCGAGCCAGCACAAACGCAAGCAGAAACTGCAGAGACAAGAACAACCAAGGCAACCAGCAGCAGGCAGGAGAGAGACAGACGGACAGCCAGACAAACGGACAGACAGACAAACGGACAGACAGAACGAAACAAACAGAGACACAAACGAACGAACAAGCAAGCGAGCAAGCCAGCAAGCGTGCCAAACAAATGTCAAAAAAACAGGTCAACAAGCAAACATGTTTGCTGTTTATGCGCTTTTGCCACCCCCTCTTCCATAGTTGCTTATGCGCTTTTATGCGCTTTTCCATAGGCGCGCTTTCGCGTTCATACCTGGTTCATCTAAGATCACCCGCAAACCAACGCATGAAAGCGCAGAGCCACTTGCGTCAGCGACCATGTTGGCAAGGGGCCTGGTGGGCAGATTTTCCGCTTTTCGCGGTCAACTCGCGCAGGAGGGCACAGTGGAATACACCGGACCTCAGCGAGCGCTTTGTGGGAAGCTGGCCTGGCAGGGCGCGTGGTTGGCTGGAGGACAGGAACGATACGGCCTCGCCAGTTGCAATTGCAAAAACTCTGTGTTGTTGGGCCTCCTTTCTGCGAAAACGCTTGCAAATGGTGTGGTTTGGGCATGCTTTTGGTGAAGCCAGTGACATGAAGGGGAAGTGGGAAGGAACGGAAACGAATAGGGAATGAAGGGGCGTAAAGGGGGGTATGCGCGGAACTGCAGAAGGCATAAGTACCTAAGCCATGGTTTTCTCGATTTTGGCGTCTTTTCTTGTGGTTTTTCCTCTCTCTTTTTTCGGTCCTGTGATCCTCTAGTGCTCCTCTAGTGCTCCTCTAGTGCTCCTCCAGTGATCGCGGTCGCACTAGAGTAGCGCTAGGCTAGAGGAGTACTAGAGGACCACTGGATGACCACTACAAAAACAAATAGAAGATGTGTCGAGGAGCGCTTCTACAAGATCACTGGAGCAACAAAGATCAGCGCTGGAGTGTCACCAAAGATGACTAGGGGCTAGGGGAGCAGTAGAGCAATCCTCAATCAATCAAGCTAAGCCCAGCCTGGAAACCAAAAACCAAACTACGCTCCTCTAGCGACGCGCTTAAACTTGACCTTAAGCCTTAAACCAACAACAAATCCTAAGCCAATCCTCAGCCAATCCTCAAGCAACCATCAACCAGCCCTCAACCAAACCAGCCCTAACGCCAGCCCTGATTGCTGGGGCTAGAAAACCACTAGAATCTTACGCCCTAAACCAACCCCAAACCACAACCCTCAACCAAACCAGCGCCCAAAACCTAAACTGTCCCGTAAGCCTTACGAATCTTAAACCGATCCTCAAATAACCATCAACCAGCCCTCAACCAAACCAGCCCTAAAGCAAGCCCGCCCTGACCGCCAGAGCACTAGTTAACCCTAAGCCGTAAGCCAACCCGAAGCCAATCCTAAACAATCCAAAGCCAAACCTCAACCAATCCTCAAGTAACCATCAACCAGCGCAGTAGAGGAGCACAGAGCCCCAAAACCTATTTTTCCAAGCTTTCAGCCAACCCAAGCCAATCCCAAGCGAACTCAAAACCAATCCTCAGCCAAGATAGCCCGCCCTGACCCCGAGACCGCTCAGCACTAGAGGAGCAGTAGGGCCCCAAATCAAGAAAACCGCCGAAAAACGATCCCCAAGCCACTGCAGAACCGCGCAAGGAGGTGAACGCGGGCATGACACCCGAAATGCAAGTGATCGGGAAATGTGAGGGAAATACACGGAAACAACGGGGAATGGTGCGCGGAAAATGAATTGGAAACATCAGGAACTCAAGGGGGAGTGAAAGGGAAACGAAGGAGAACTGAAAGGGACATGACGGGAAAAGGAATGAGAAACGCAGGGGCAGGAGAACACAGTGAGCGACGAGGAAGTCAGAGGACACGAAATGAGATGTAGGGAAACGATTGGAAATAGAGGAGACACACATGGAAAATGAAACGGAGAAACGCAAGGGGAATTGAAAGGAAAGGAAAGGGGACTTGACGAGGAAATGCGGGGAAACTAAAGGAGAAAGCCAAGACAACACACTCAGGGGGAAGGCGACTCAGGGGGAATGACGCTGCAATGCAAATGGGAGATGCTAGGCAGGGGAAGCGAACCGGAAGGAAGCAACGAAGGAGAAATGAGCGGAAACGAAGGGAGCTACCGGGACATGATTGGAACTGAAGGGGGCATGAGTAGGAGCTGAAGCAGACATGACAGGAAAATGGCAAGGACACAGGGAGGGGCAGATGTGAGGGGAGGGGAGAGAGAGAGAGAGAGAGAGCGAGAGAGAGAGAGAGAGAGAGAGAGAGAGAGAGAGAGAGAGAGTGAGAAGGAGAAGGAGAAGGAGAAGGAGAGGGGAGAGAGAGAGAGAAGGAAAAGACCTGGAGGCTCTCAAGATTTACCAGATTTCAGCGGCAAAGAGCCGGAAGGAGAAGTTCGAGCCTAGGACCCCTGTTTTGCGACTTCAGAGACGCTTTTTGTAGAACATCCCCCTAAGAACCACTATGCAACGATGCTCTGTGGCCCTCTATTTCAATATGATCCTTTGATGTACACCGAATGGATGTATTGATGAATGGATGTCCCTGGTAAACAGTCTGGTCAATAACATCTTACAGAGAGCGCGCCGCAAGGATTTTCCACAAGCGCGTGGATTGCCACACTGAGTGTGAAAAGAGAAGGGCCCGTGAGCCAAAGTTGCGTATGAGATTGTGTGGGGTTAAATGATTTCCTTCGAAGATGGCTCATTTGATCGTAGTCGCTTTTGTGACGCGATGGGGTTGTTCGTCTGGCAGCGGGAAAGCTATATGCAGAGCACAGCGCATGTCAAAATCGAATTCACACACACATGACCGTAAAGTGAAGGAGGTGTTTAAGCGTGCCTAGAATGTCGCATCTTCTTTGCTTGTTACCTTCCGGAAAGCGATGGACAGGATTGTTGTAAAACTGCCGAGTCTCTCGCTGCATTAAAACAGTCTGAAAGACGAAGGGGTTGATGTCGCAAGAAGAATAGTCTTGTTGTCAAGGAGGTCTAGGGAACTGACCCAGCGAGGCTACGGAGCTTGCTGAAGAGGTATTTTGCACTTTCAGTGTTGCCACTTGCACTTGGGCTGTTGGTAGCTGAGTCTACCCAGGATCTTGGTTCCTTCAGCAGGAATACACATTGACCTTGTCCCACTGGTGGTTCTTCTTGTGGAAATACTTTTTCTGCCTGCTTCGGATCGACTGTGGATGTATACGAATTGCGTTGCGTTCATGAACGTTTCGTTCGTGATCTGTGTGAATGTCTCCGCTGTGGAAACCCGATAGTCGGCGATGGTGAGGAGGTTGTCGGTTTCGATTCGTTGGTCCTCTGTCTTTCCCCGCCAAGTGCAGATGTGACCATACAATCTGGAGACAGTCTTTGTATGCAACACATGCCTGACGATGGATCAATCAAGGCGGCGACTGGTTGGCAATGCAATGGGGTCCTTCCACGTCTGTTGCAAAAGCTTGATGGCATGGTGGAGAAGACCATTATCTGGACGATAAGCCTGCTGATATTTGCTGCAACTGTTCATCCAGCGTTCGCATTCGGATGTGGTCCTGGAAGTCCTTATCCACGGGTCCATGATTGAGATTTGGATAGATGTGGAAAACTCCAATGGTTGCAAATAGAAGATTTGCTGGAGCCATGTGACGCTCATCAGAGTCTAGGCTGGGATAGCCCGTAGTCTTGGCTTCTTCTCAACGTGGATGGTGACAATCTCCTTGTTCTTCCCACGCGCACGGGGGCAAGTGTTGGTGCAGGTGCTCCCGGATAGTCCCTCGTGAACATGCAGATTCCTGTGGATGCCAGTCAGTTTGGGGTCGGAATTGTATTCACCGTGCTTGTCACCCGTCGCCATGACCAGAGTACTCGGGGGAATGTCTCCTCTTCTTCGGCGGAGGATCGGTGTTACGGATGGTGAGTGCCGTCCGTTCTCCAGCAAACTTTGTGTTGTGATGGGTTGCGAGGGCGAGCGCAAGGATGATCATCGATCCTCTTTCTGCTGGCACATGCTGCAAGTCATTCAGGATGACGTCATCGACGCGTGGCATATGAACGTGCTTCCGACCCTTGGGGTTGAGTTCCTCTTGCGAAGGTCTTGCGCAGCTCTTCGCTGTATGTCGCGCGCAATCATGAATGTCATCTGCCTCTTCTTGAATGGAGTTGTCTTGCGTTCCGATTCAATGGATTCAGGAGCTCGTAATCCTTGAAGGGTGGAGAACCCCTGCTCTTGCTGATGCCCTTGGAAGGAAGGCCCCAATCTTAATCTTGTTCTTCCCACCGTTGGTAGTCTTGATGGATAGGGCGTGCCGCGGTTTCGATCGACAGGTCGCACATGTCCGGACAAGCGTCGCATGGACAGCTCCATTTCCTTGTCGTTTGCATATTCGTGGCCATTGGGACGAAGCGCTTGTTGCGCAGATGTGGATTGGATGCTGTCAATCCATTTGTGTGGCGGCGCGATCTGACTCCGTTTCTGTCTTTCCTCGTATGTGCCACAAGTAGACGGATACACAATCGCAATCTCGCATCTCTTGATTTGTCATGCCGTGGGAATGCCGTCGCGAGGAACAGGCTTGGCGTATTGCCCAGGAAGGCACCCCTAACTCCCCAAAGCTCGCAGGCTCCATCTTCATTTGCTGGTGCTTCCTTCCTCCCATCATATCATCCTCTCCTTTGTATGGCGAAGCGCTGCAGAGAACAGTCTGCTCGTTCTCTCGATTCTCCAAGGGATCAGGCGGACGATCGGCTTGGCCTTGTCTTCCGCAAGGTTAAAAAGCTTGCGCAGGGATTTCGCATTGGTGATGGTCTTGTCCATGTCGATTGTCTCACCGGGAAGATGTCAGTTCCACATGCTTTGGGATTGCTGTCAATATAGCAGCACATGCGATAGATTCTCTTGATGTAGGTGACGTAGGACTGCCTGCGATGGATGGATACCAGAACTGGTTGAACTTCACCTGGAGCAAAGTATGGCTTCTCCCCTGACTCCCGCACATGCTCATGCATAATGAACATAATTGAAGTCGGGATCTGTGGCATTCCTGGTAGCACTGTACTCCTTCACAAAGTCGAGGAAGGGGATGAGGGTGGAGTGTTTGGAATTCAGCGTTTCAGAAAACACAAATGCAACTCCGAAGATAACTGGATCTCAGAAGCAGGACTGGACACTTGACAAGAAGAACAAGCAGCTTGCTCGTGTTCACATCACGCCTCGAAAGGCATTTTTTGTTCATCAGGAGCTGAGGAACGCCAAATTGATCAGCAACCCGCTGAGAGACGGGGTAGCAGGATATGCTGCAGATAGGATCAAAGAAAGGGCAGTCGACCATTCAGCCAGATCCTTTTGCCCCATCCGCAGGTGAACCAACATCTCTTCTACTTACGCTGGGCAAAATCCACCAGCGATTGTCCAAGCCAGAAGGGCTGGAGAAGCTCCACCTCCAGCATTGCCACATGAATACCGACCAATTTCG